GATCATTTATTTACAAAATAGTGTGAACTACTAAGTATTTTCAATTAACCAGACTAAGGTAGCTTTGCCGTAGTTCAATTTCCAAATTTATAAGTAGTACAGTCTAGATCTGCTCTATTTTGAAAAGTGTCCTGAGATAACTTCTGTTAGAAATTGGCGCTATACAAATAAAATTGAATTGAACTGAATTGAATTGAATGAGGTCCAAGTATTAAATCCTGAAAGGTATTACAGAAAATTTTTGTTAATTAATAACTTGCAGGCATATTGGACTTTCACTGCTCCCACTACTGTTTAAAAGGCAGAAAATGTCTTGTTTCTAGTGGTCTCATCAGTGATTACATTCCCCTCACAGGGTCCTTTCCTCATACATGTATAGTTATGTGACAGTGCATCAGTCTATTTCCTGATTTAGACTGTTTGATATGGTCAGAAGCTTTAGAACGACCAAGTCAGCAGACCTTGAGTTGAGATGATTGTTTTATAGAATAAAGAATCAACAGCTGTTTGAATTAATTTATTGTGGCTCTATTACTTATGTAATCACTGATCTATAATCTGCATGGTGCTCAGGTGAGTGAACTTTGGAACAAGAGAGGAAAAACTGCTGCAACTGTTTATCAGGTAGATAACAGCTGAACTGAACTGATCCGAGCTGTAAAACAGACCTCTCTCAACACTAACAAGTTTTCTCTCCTGAGTGTTACGCTGAAGGTGAGTACGACAGTCTTCTCTGAACGCAGATTATGATAAATTTTTATGTTTCCACTGTGGTCCAGGATGCTGTGGATCAGTGAAAACAGACAGCAACAAACAGCTTTTTGAGCTGTGTGGAGTTGTCTCAGGTTTGTATGGTTTTCATCCAATTGTAATTCAAATTTTACCAGATGTTGATTGGTTGATGAAGGCTGGTGGAGCCATTAGCGTCAGAGAAGAACAATGACATTGAACTTTGAACTGAGACTGAGCATTAAATCTGTTCTCTTTCACATTTTGGATCAATTTGGGTGAGTTCAGTAACCATAGTCATGGGTTTCAGTCAGTGGTAGGTAATCTACGACTCAAGCACTCTTTAGACTCTTTTAGCTCCCTGTGGCTTTGACAAATAATAATAAGGAAATATCATTGTTAGCCTAAAGTGATACTTAGATTCTTCAGTTGTGAAAATGTGTATCCATTACACACTAAAAAAAACATTTCATCAACTAAAATGTGCGTCAGACATTACGTCCTGACCTGGTTGTATTTCTTCCATATTTTGCCAAACCTCAGTAGTGGTGGCTACAACACTTGAGTCGCCCTAGCTAGACTAGCTCTGGACTGGACTCCATAAACACTGGCATTATCTAGCTTAAATATGTTTTGTGGCTCCAGACAGGGTTGTTTTGGCCTAAAATGTATCTTTTGATAATAAAGTTTGCCCTGGTTTAAATGTCCTTTATAGACCGAATCCCAGGGACGTGGCTCTAACATCAACAGTCACTTCCGGGTAGCTTCTACACTACTGAAAAGAAACATCAGATTCTATTAATAAAGGTATATCTTATCATATGTTTCATTCAGTAGTGTTTTTGAGCTGAATGTTTTTCCAGTGATATAGAGTATTGATTGCAAAATCTGCACCTCCTCTGTGGATAATGTTGATTTCATAATGATCCTCACTGGCTGAAGTCAAGCTGAAGTTAAGTCACAATGTGTAAACATGATTGGCCCATTTTCAGGTCGACTAAATATGCAAAAGTAGGGATTTCATCCTTTGCCGGACAGCCACTTTAAAAATCTGGCACATCCTCTTCAGGCACCACTGGAAAAGAGGTATTGTAGTATTTCGAGCTGTCCACTGAACTGACAGACAAAACAATGCAAGTTAAAAAGTAAAAGTAAAACATAAAGCTATGGTCCATAGATACATTTGACTCTTCTGACAGTGTTTTCCTCCACAGACGGTATGGCAGGCAGGAAGACGGTGTGTTGTGGTGTTTCTGCTCTGGAGGCCACGCTGGCCGTCCTGTTCATCATCATGACAGTCGTGTGTGTGACACTGATCGCAGTGATGGCTACCCAGAAAACACACACAGGTGAGAACATACGAACATACACTCAGTAGACTTACCATTGTGTGTGTTTATACCACCGAATGGCGCCAGAGTCAACAAATAACGGATACATACCAAGACACTTACCACACAAGAGATAAAACGTGAAAGAGCGGAGCTATCCCATATCTGTTGTCCTGTCAGGTCCGGAGCCGGAACCTCAACACAAGCCTTACCTGATCGGAGTGGGCCGGGCTGACTGCACCGGGCCGCCTGCTGAAATCCCTCTGGTCAGTACCAAACTACCATGTACAGGCAGCTGTAGACTAGCAAATCCTGTGTTTTTATCACTGCTGTTTTCATCAAAGCAGTCTAGTGGCTTTGAAGGGAGCCATATAACGTCTTCAGTTCCCCGTCGGAATAGTCTTCGAATTCAGTTCAAAAATCATATCCGGTATGCTGTGATTTCCTGTTCGAACCTTTCTTTTCAATATCATTTAAACTAGCACTAACGTCTCATCCATTCTGCTTATGAAACGTCTGGCAGCAACGCTTGGTAGTTCCATAGCTAGCCAAATTGTGAACCATTTGGTGTTCCATACTGTCTGGAAGGGGTGTGGTAGAATAATAATAAATAAAGTTTTTAGTTTCCCATGTTTCCCAACCTGGACAGATTGTAGGAAAGAACAAAAACTCTTTTATCTGCAGGGAATCAAACTCCAAAGTCTGCAGCAGTCCTTTCTGACTGGGTGTGTTTGGACTGATAATCTTTAAGGTTTGGAAATCAGAGATATCCAAGTGTCAGATTCTCCGTCTGCAATTAGAGGACCATAAACCCTGAGGTCAACCTCGATGTGTCTGAGTACTTCTGAATGAACTAGAGGAGGAAATGTTTGTTTTTAGCAACACCTAGCATGTTGATGCTAACCAGCACTGAGCTTAGGGGCCATACTTTAATACCTGTGTTTGTTTGACTGCATTTCTGTTAATTTGATCATCTGCTGCTGCTATAAGCCATCTGTTATTGTATAACTGGACAGAGAGCTGTACTGGTGGTTGTGTGTGAAGCAGCCGGGATTAAGGCCGAGTCTGAGGCCATGGAGTTTAAATATCTTGGTATCTTGTTCACAAGCTGAAAGCACAGCTCTTGATTTACCAATCTATCTACGTTCCAACCTTCAGCTATGGCCATAAGCTTTGGGTAGTGACCGAAAGGATGAGATCATGGATACAAGCAGACAAAATTAGTTACCTCCGTAGGGTGTCTGGACTCAGCCTTTCCCCAATATTCCACGTGCATGGGTTTACGGCACCACATCTGCAATGCAGTTTGGCTCTGTGATCAGCGTGTCTTCAAATCTCACAGAGAGCACCTTCCTGCCTGGCGTTGCTGACCTTTGTATTTTGTCCTTAAAACGGTGTGTTTCCATTGACTGACTGATTTCTGGCCTGGCGATCACCTCCGGCTGCCGGTGGAATCTCAGGGTTAGAGGTAGGGTGAGGAGCTCGGACATCCGGAGGGAGTTCGGAGTAGAACTGCTGCTCCTTCATGTTGAAAGGAGCCAGTTGAGGTGGTTCAACATCTGATCAAGATCCTCTTAGGCATCTTCCTTTGGAGGTTTACCAGGCACAACTGGAAGGAGACCCCGGGGTCAGGATGAGAATTGAGAACTGGTTCCAATTTAACTGATCCATCTAAATTGTATGTCTCCGAGCTTATCAGTTCATTTTATCAATTCCAGCACATGGGAATTGCATAACAATGTTGGTTGGAGACTTACAAAGCACTGTCTTCCTTTCACTAAGAAACTCAAACCACTATAACTGTGTTCAGAGATAAAAAACAGTTGTGTTGACACAGAAAATGACAAAGAATTGGACTGATAAGCAGAATTGATAATAAAATCTTCTGAAGTTCCATCCTTACCCGCGGGGTAGACCCAGAACAACCTGGCCTCGGGATCATCCAGGAGGAGCTGAACAACATAACAATCCGCCCTATATTGAATTGGATCCATGATCAGAGCAACAAGAGGAGTTAAAGAGTCAGTTGATCCAGCACAGATTTCCTCCGACTCTGCAGATTCAGAAGAAACCCTCTGATGACAACGTCACTGAGCTCACCATTATTTTTTTCTTTGAGATGATCACAACAAGTTGGTTATCTGTGTGTATGTGTGTGTATGTGTATGTTCAGATGGGTTATGCAAACCCTCAGCAGACGGCCGCAGGCATACACACTCGCCTGTACAGCCGAGCCTTCATCATTGACGACGGGAAGCAGAGGGTCGTGTTCGTAACCGCAGACATTGGAATGATATCACAGAGGCTACGACTGGAGGTCAACACACACACACACACACACACACATATAATATAATACATATACATAGTCAAATAAGTATTTAGAGCCTTTAATTAAACAAAAGTATCCACAGTATTAAAATACCAGTGGTGGTACATTTACTGCACAATTTTGAGGTATCCAACTTTCATTGAATATATTTATTTTATTATGTTTAATACTGATAATCCAGCACTTTTTGATAAAAAAAACAAGATTTAATTTGATTTGTGTGCATGCAGGTACTGAAGGCATTGCAGCTGAAATACGGGAACCTGTACCGTCAGGACAATGTGGTTCTGAGTGGTACTCACACACACTCTGGACTGGCTGGATATTTCCAGTACACTCTGTTTATGATCAGCAGTAAAGGTTATATTAAGACGTCCATCGAGCCGCTGGTCAACGGCATCGTGAAGGTTTGTGTGAATTATTCATTGGTTTATATTCAGCAAACATAAACCACGGTCTGATGTACCATCCATTAATTCTTCCAGAGTATAGACATAGCCCATGCTACCATAAAGCCAGGCAGGATTTACAGGAGCAGAGGGGAGCTGGATGACAGCAGCCTGAACAGAAGTCCTCAGTCCTACCTGAACAACCCAAAGGATGAAAGACACAGGTACACAATGCCAGAGAGAAAACACAACATGTTTGCTTGTATTGCTTCTGATGTATAAAGACTTTATTGATTAATGTTGTTATTGATCTCTTCAGGTACAAGTGGAACACGGATAAACAGGTGTTGGTGCTGAAGTTCACTGATCTGGATGGAGACGGAATCGGTATGCTCAGGTAAAAACACCTGGTGCAACAATTAAAAAAGCAGATGATGCTTGCAACTCAAGGCTTACTTCCTGTTCCCAGTAGATGGTGCTATGACTGTGACTGAATATTGGCATGTAGATTTTTTCAGATTTTGCACTGATCGCAGTGATTGAACTAAAATCAATTTAATCAATTTTGTCTTTTATCAACGCTGCTCTGACTCTGTCCCTCCTGACAGCTGGTTCGCCGTCCACGCCGTCAGCATGAACTACACCAACCGCATGGTGAGCAGTGATAACATGGGCTACGCCTCCTACCTGCTGGAGCAGGACAAGAACCCCGGGGATCGACCTGGACAGGTGACATTATGAGGTCTTTCTGCACAGGTTCCAGTTTCACTGACTATATTAATGAAACTTCATGAGCAGCAGAGGGATGCTCTGCCCAGGGTTTCACCTCTTAGGCTACAGAAAGGCTACTGCCCAACCCTCTCATTGGTACCAATCACAGGTAGTACTCAGGGCTGGACAAAGAATACAGCAATGTGCATTTTTTGTGGGGAAAAAATAAAAATAGTAACAATGTGATTGGATGACAGGACCTCCAACTTATAGAAAACTATTTGAACTTTTAATTAGGGTTTATACTTGTGATGTTAACAATGATTAAGAGTGGCAGCTCCACACAACAGCTCCCGCTCCTCCTCTCTAGTTTTGCCTTTTAATCTTTATTTTCTTTTTTCTTACCTTCTAACTAGCACTGTATTTAGTTGTAAATAGGACAGTGTTGGTAGTTTAGTTTTTTATTTTTAGCCTCAGTTAGCTTAGTTTTCATCTATAAACAATATGCGGAAATGTGGACACCGTGACGAAAACACACCAAAGCGCCGGGGGTTACTCACGTGAGGACTTCCTCCGGTATTTAGACTTATGTGTGACATGTCCGAAGGAGATCCAGAGCAGGCACGTTGAGGAACAAGAAGACAGAGAGGCGGCGGAGATACAAGCCAGAGAGAGAGAGAGGGTGAGAGAGACAGAGGGAGAGACAGACAGACAGACACAACAACTACACCAATACACTAATGATCATGAAAAAGACGATGACGACGACAGCAGCAATGATGGGGGACAGCGAGCAGCGACAACAGCAACAACAGTGCTATGTCTGACTGAGACATGGCTGAATGGGAATACAACAGACTGCTCAGTGGAACTAGTTGACTTATCACTAGTCCGAGCAGATAGGAATCTAGAAAACTATCTGCCCTGTGAGTTTTCGGCCACTATTGTTGTCATTGTTTACATTCCTCCATCGGCAGCAGCAGCGCACGCCTGTGACATCATTCACTCACACACTAATAAATGGAGATTTTAACCATGCCAAAATATCAAAGACCCTGACCAACTTTACCCAGTACGTGCCCTGTAGAACCAGAGGGGAAAAGAACTTGGATTTGCTGTATGCCAATGCAAAGGAGGCAAATCTGACCACTGCCTGATACAGCTCACTCCTACATACAGGCCTGCTGTTAGGAGGACAGTCCACCACCAGGACTGTGCAGCAGTGGTCGGTGGAGGCAGAGGAGGCCTTGATGGAGTGTTACAGGACAACCGACTGGGAAGTGTTCCAGGAAGACTACGGAGATGACATCGAGGGTCTCACCCAGTGTGTCACGGACTACATCAGGTTCTGTGAGGACAGCGAGGATTCGCTGTTTCCCAACAACAAGCCATGGATCAACAGGGACATCAAAGCCCTGCTTTTGCACAAACTATTTATATTGAAGTTGCACATGTACAATTTAGTTTCTCTTTTTTTTTAAAGCTGCTCAAAATATTTTTTTGTTTGTTTTTGTTATTTATTTTATAATACACCATTTTATTTGCATATTGCATATAGTGTATATAGTGTATATACTTTTCATTTATAGTCTGTATTTTCTTTATTATATTTTGTAATATTCTTATTTTGTGATTCTTATTGTACTTTTCACTTCTCTTTGCACTACATTCCCCTATGCTGCTGTGTCTAATTATCAGTCAATAAAGGAACATCTTATCTTATCAATATATCAGCTGATATCAGTTGATTGCAGATATATCAGTATCTGTTTAAATGTCAGTCGATAGTAGTGTAGTGAGTGTGTGAGTTTATTGAATGTCACACTATAGTCCAACCAGCGTGTTCAGCATCATCTCGTATCGTATTCTGGTTGGTTTGTAGTCGTTGGTCGTCCGTTACCCGTTTTCCACCAACCTAGTTTAGTTGGTTCAACTCGAGAACCTTCTCAGAATCTGTTTCTTGTCCCCCGGGCTAAAGAGCCAATGTTAGTTATTGTTTACTGGTCAGCTAAGATTACCCAAGCAAGCATAGCTACTAATTTCTCACATCAGTGTTACAAACATACATTTGGAAGTAATTTCACTTCAAGGCGGTGCTACAGCGAGTGTGTTATTAGCCTGTCTGCCCCTCATTTTAGGCATAGCCGCTGAATAGAGTCTAGTGGCAAGTGAATTCTGTATATATAAACTTTAATTCCCAAAAACGTATTAGAGATGAGAACAAACAAAGGTCGTGTGAATCTTTGAGGTCTAACCAATACCATAAAACAGTTGCAAAGCTGATTGTTTAGCTATTAGCATTGTTTACATCCACGCTTACTAGCTTACAGCTCCATAGAGCTACTAGAGGTCAAAAACTCTTAAGGGAACCTGTAAGACATTCAGTATCATGTGCATTCAGGGTCAGCTGATGACCTGTGTGTGTTTCAGGGAGGGTTTGTTGCTGGTTTCTCCTCCAGTAACCTCGGCGATGTCAGTCCGAACATCAAAGGACCTCATTGTGTGAACACCGGATTGCCCTGTGACTACCTGAACAGCTCCTGTCCTGTGGGAGGGGTAAACACACACACACACGCACACACACACAGTCATCACTGACATATAAAAGATGGACGTTTCCACTTCCTCCCGCTGCCATCTTTCACCAATGGCGAGCAGACGAGCAGCTCATGACGTGAAACCCCATTTTTATATTTTTACATAAATTAAAACTTAAAACTGATGATAAAAATGAACCCTTGAACAAACATCAGCGTGATAAGAACGACCTAAAACAAAATGACAAAAGAGCTGTCCACCATCTTTATAGACGTACATGATGCTCATTCATTCAATATGAACAGCAGGCAGTAAACAGGAAGTGTGTGTCTCTCAGACTAAGATGTGTAAAGCGTTTGGACCTGGAGACGACATGTTCGAGAGCACGAGGATCATCGGACACAACATCTACAGGAAGGCCAAGGTACCTGTTTGTCTCTCTGAATATAATTAAATACAGCTCAGCCTATCAACTGTGTAGTAAAACTACGGTGGATGGAAAACTTGTAAAACATGAAAGATCCTATCTAGAATGAATGTAACCCATTGTGTTGTATAATGTGCATTGTGGGGACTCATATTCAAGTCCCCACAAGGTAAGCTTTTTATTTTAAGGTTAAGACTTTGTTTTGGGGTCAAGGTCTGGATAAGCTTTAATCATAAATCAATAAAGATCAATAGAGAGTCCTCACAGCTGAACAGTGTGTCAATGAGTTGCTGCCCCCTGCAGGAGCTGTATGCTAACGCAGTGGAGGAGGTGACGGGCTTTGTTCACTCTGCTCATCAGTGGGTCAACATGACAGATGTCACAGTTCAGATCAACGACACACACACGGTGAGCATCAACATCAAAAGGACTCATAGCTGTTATCCATCATCCATCGTATCGATCAGTCTGCCAGGATTAGTTTCAGTGAAGTTAGAAGTTATTTGTTCCGTGTGTTGAACAACCAGACTGTGATGTTACACTGTTGCAATAAATGAAGTAAAGGTTAAGTCTCCTTGCTGCTTGATCTGATTCACAATCATCTGTTTCTGTTAGTGTTTAACAGGTT